TTAAATGCCACAAAAGCAAGTCTATACTAAAAAATCATAATTTTTTTTATCTCTATACTAATTTATATTTAAAGCAAGATGGATTAATCGTATGTTAAACCCAAAGGCTCGAGTAGGGAACGAGAACTTTGCGAACGAAGCTTGAGTTGTTTTCATGTAATATGCCCATAAAAATAAGTTGTTGCCAGGTATAGTTCACATAACTCAAATAACATAAATACAAAACCAGACTGCAGACATGATATAGACTTTAATTTGTTTCATATATCTTCTTTTTTCTTTTGTGTATAGAATATAGCATGTCAACAGTGAGATCTGGTAACATCTTCTCTACAGTTACACTTTGATACATAGCTTGGTGTATGTGAAGTTGATCACGCATATTTTGGAACAATGAACGAAGTGGCAATAGCATTATTTCTAGAGTTTCTACTGCTGATTTGTTTAGATATGACCCGTGCGGATATTGTTGTATTTGAGATTGTGCGAAACACAACAATTACTACTATTTTGAGACGCGCGTTTTGCACATTACATCACATGTTTGCATTTCAACATTAAGAATATCCTATCCAGCTGCCGAAAAGCAGTTTCATTTATGATATCACACGCCGGGTTCAAGAATATCTTATGCATCAAATTTTGTTACAAATGTGTTTATTGAAGGTACATGTCTACCGCCTGGAATGGTGTATGATATAGTCAATATATCTTTAATGGATATTTGTTTTCTCGTGAACAAAATGCACATTTTCACGATGAATTTGCAATCTGCTATACATTTCAGCTGTATTTCACAAGTCATAGCCTTTTCATATCTATGTATGATTGCTCAGGATTTCAGAGAGCTTTTTTCTGTTTTTAACAGAATGTTATAGAAAGTCTGCTATTTTGTTTTCAGATGGGACATACCGATAATAACAAAAAGATTAAAAGATATTGCGAAGTCGTTAATACCTCTGTATGCATAATGCAACTACAGACAAGTTGTGTAATGTTTATAAACTGAATGAACTGCATTCTAACGTTCCAAGTACGAAAAGTGCAAAAGCAAGCAAAGAAATTTGTCAATGTAATTCAATGAAATTTGTGAAATATGAACGGAAATAATTCGAGCTGTTTCTAGATTTGTATGGGAAAGATTTCAGATTTTATAGTCGATAGCTCTGATTATTTGCACTGTTAGATTGATAAATTCTTAATGAGAAAACAAACGCAAAATATCTGAGCCGGGAGGTTGACTGAATAAAAAATGATTGATTTTAATCCATGATTAGATTTCAAATGACATAAGTACATTGTACCTGTATATAAACAGTGAGTATGTTAAAATGAATTTAAATGTGGTATTTGAGCTTACGCAAAACCCTATGGATACATATAACACCATATTGATATTCATATTAATAGCATCATCATTACGTTTACCACTTTCCATAGTTCAAACCTTTTTCTCCTTGAAAAAGTGTCCTGGAGGGACGAAACAGCTGTATGATGCAGTTTATTTCATTTATTGGATTTACTACATCTAACTCTCTATCAATAAAAGGTGTCGTTTACCTGTGTGTCTTTTGTACAATCTGCAAACCTAGAGAAATCTAGAACACAAATCGGTATCAAATGCGTCTCGCAAAATCATTCTTAAACATTTAATATGATGGTAATTTTCCAGATCCTGTCTCATGCAAATGTTGCTGATGATGAGATAGATATAATTTTACTGTCTGCGATTGCACAAAAATTTCAACATCTTTGAGGTAATCAATAAATCATATCAACAATAACTGCTTTTTAATGATTATTTCAAATCGAGATCGAGCTGTATGTAGTTTTTAAGATTTGTATGATCTATGTATTGATTGTTGCATCCTTTGATTGATATTCTATACTTACATACACACATATCATTAGTGGTCATCACGTGTTTCAATTATATTGAATTTAAATGTTCATTTACCTATGTAATGGAACATACATTAGTTACATAATGATAAATTGCATTTCTAAGATAGCAAGTGTCAAATCAGAAGAATGCAACATATTCAGTATGACCTCCCTAGGAACGGGTCAGATAAAAGGTGATTGGTTTTTAAAGATTAATAACAATCAAAGCTTTCCAGCAAAACAACCTGATGCTGGAATATGTTGAAGACATTTTTCATTGCATTGATCTCTCTTATCTTAGAAGTAAATGTTCGTTAACTCTAATAAATGTAGCTTTAAAATTGAACAAATATAAATAACATATTGCCAAAGAATAAATCCAGTACACATTCGCACGGTCATGAAATCTTTTGCACAAACTCTAATTCAAAATTGTTTGTAACGCTATTTGCTATTAGGATGATGGAGTGTGTCTTCGTGAGTAATCTGGCTCTGAAAACAAAGTTTGTTTAGATATCCACTGCTTTGATCACTGCTTCCTCGTGCCGTTACATTAAGGTTTCCAAGCCAAAAGAAATTTGTTTTTAAAACACGAATACGCTATATATTGTATGGCATCTCCTTTGAAGTGTTGTCACATTAAATGAAGGAAAATGAATTGATGTGTACCCATTTTTGTTGAATTATATAATTTTATCGAAATAATGTTAAGGTGAGAGTCGTTTCATTCCACCACTGATTCTGGACCGATACAAATTGTTTATGCATTGTCTAATGCTTAATGATTCAATGCACTTAATATATATGTCACTTAATAAACACATACAGATATACCAAACTTAAATTAATGTGTACAGTTGTTCAAGTTACCTAGTTGATGTAGACTTAAATCAGAAATGATTCCCAGACATTTTTCCTCGCTGCCGATATATTGGAGGCTATTAACCGATTTTTATCAAGCATTTTGTCCAGTGGCATTGTCATATATCTTAATGTCATAGATATCAAAATATGTTGTTTTTATATGATCTATCAATATTTTTCATACAGTTGTGGTATCGCACAACGCATCAAAAACCAAAAATAACAAGTATGCACATATACGATACAGAATCTAGTGCATAACTGTGAGATAGGATCGCAAATTTTATGCGTTTTAGTTTTTTGTAAAAATGGTTGATCAATATTATAAAACACATTATAAGGCTCGTGTAATGGCTAAATAACGACCAAAGGCGTTTTATGTGGTGATCGAAGATAACAAAGGACAGATATCGAAATTAAAATGGATTCTGTTTTAATTGGCATCACAAGTGTATAGCTTCCCTCCTCAGAGAGTAAGTAGCTGGTGGTATGTCCTGGACAACAAAAATTAAATGTATACGGGTATATACGTGTTACATCCGTACCGGCTAGGAATGTAAACAGAAAGGTCCTTTCTAATGGTTTAATTAGATGATAAAAAACTAAGATGCCAACATAATCATCATCCAAATTCATATTTAACAAAACTAGGGCAAATGTAACCGATTGGGGACTAGGGCAATCAAATCAGGTGTTCCGGAAGAATGAGCGCTTTCTGCTTCTGCTGCATCGCCAACCCTAAATTGGTCAACCCAAGTAAGTAATGTCACGTTTTCAATGAGAACAGGGTATATAGCAAATCCAAACTCACGAAAGCATGAAACACGTCCAGCTTCCTCAATAGGATCACTATGACGAACATAAAACTTCACAACGTTTTTTATAAACTGGCATCATTTGAAATCCTGTGTCACGAATTTGTCTCTTGGTTTACGACTTCGTGCACGAAGATAATGATAATGGGAACAGGTCCGTGAATGTTTAAACATCTACGACCTGCAAACACATTAAGTTGGTGTCAAGAAATGGAAAAAAATAGATGATTCATGGCCGAGACGTCAAATATCAAATATATATTGACTACATAATGAATGTCTGTACACTATCGTCAGTTTGGCGCTTAATAAAGCAACACCATTAATTACGAGCGTATTTAAGTATTCAGTCTGTTTCTGATAGTCCTACATGTGTTTGACCTAATATGTCATAATTTGAAAATATACCGAGATTGAATCTAACCCATACTTATTCACGTGTCATTTCTTAATTCATATCAACCACAATAAGAACGACACATCTTTACTTATAGATGTCCGATAGCAAATTTCTTTCAGTGTTCTTGTGCACATCGTGTGCGTCTTTCGATACAACAACTGTAGTTACTACCTCTTCATTCGATCTACTTATATTATCAGTTTTGCATTATCTGGTAAAATTATTTTATTTTTGATATTTATATACATGATCTATATTTATAAGTATTGCACATAATCCCAGTTGAAAATAGCCACTTCCGTGATGTATAGCAAAATTAAAGACAACATATCTATATATTTAGTCTACATTAAAGAAATGATTTTCTCTGTAATTTAATTTTTTCAAATTCTTGTTGAGTCAGTGATCTTGAATATGTTGCCAATGTGGATATTTTAGGTATCCGACAGAAATTTTAACGAAATCATATGCATGGCCTCCTACAGTTAGCAATTTTCTATTGCAATAACCAATAATTATGTATGTGTTGTTCGCTAGTGACATGTTACATGATGTATCCTGTAACATTAGCTGTGAGGATGGTAAAACAGAGTGTGCGTGTCAACAACGAAAACGCATACCGCAGTAGTTTGATGTCTTTTTAGAATGCATTGCCAACACGTTTTGCATGAGAGTTTAACAGAAGACTAAATATCACATGCAACTTGCGTAAAACGCGTCTGTTCATTACATTACACGAAACACGTAGAATTGTTTATGATACAAAAGGATAAAAGAGTTTGACATTAGGTCTTGAGTGGTCCCAAGCGTGTTGACTTTCCAGCCTAGATCTAACACAAAAGCATGATCTGAGACTTAAACATGTAATAGTTTAATGGCGCACTTCAAGAATGAGACATAATGAAAATTTGTTTATTTTGTTCCATCGACATTGAATGATATTGGTTTCTTAATCGCTTCGTAATCTGTCATTGTTTTATTTTTTTCAGAGCAATGTTTATTGAGGGAACGATAATGTCCTCTTATGGAAAACGAAGATGAAACACGATGTACAGAAATGGTTGATTTCGGTGTATACCGTTCTTTGCATGGTATACACAATTGCAGGTATGTCAGAATCAGTCCCCATCGTCACAAGTTCATTTAGAAAGAAATTGGAAGCAAATCCAAATCATAGGCATTGTAAACACTACATGTTTGGATTGAAATCCTAGATGATCAATTTATCACGAAATCATACAGATAAAAGTATGAAGTATGTAAACCTCTTTATTTATTACAGTGCATATTGATCTAAAACACTATTAATGCATGTGAGTGAAGAATTTTTAACCGAAAGCCTATAGCAGTCATTTTTTTCATATTTCTTTTACTTAGCTGGAGCCTGCAATGAGACCATTGAAGAGTGTCTTAGGTCGACAAGTTTTAACTTAACGGATGAGCAAAGGCTTCTTACCAAGCTTATGGCATCATATAACAAACAGACACGTCCAGTGTTTAACGCATCACATCCTGTCAATGTCAAGGTCGGACTGACAGTCACACAGATATTTGACGTGGTAAGTAGTACAATTAGTATAACATACACTTTTTGATGTAGTTGAAAACAAATGCATAAAGCGGCATAAATACAATTATATCATTGTGGCGATACCATTGTTTGATAAAGTAGAAAGATCTTCCAACAGATTGCTATCTTGTTATTGTACCCATTGAAAGATGTTGTGCCCCCTTTTTATTCGACATGTTTACGTTTATATATAGAAATAAAGACCTTACCAGAGCAGATGAAAAACACTTTATCTTCAGCTTCTGTACCTTTTTCGTTTATTTTTAGATAACTTTATAAAGAAAAACGTTGAAGAAAACTTATTCAAAGTGCATTAACGGCTCTTCAAAAATAACTGCTTCAACGTTACTCATACGTGACTTAAATGGAAGATTAACAACATAGCTGTTTTAAAAGAAATTTGCTTTTCGTCTAGTAAACTCACTCATATCATGACTAACGATGTTGTCATGCCGTACTATCAAGCGATTCGATTCTTTTGGAACGCACAGGGAAAACATTAATGGATATATAATACACAAGAACAGCAAAGAGGAAATATCAACATGCCAATATAATCCAAACTCAATAGAATTAGGGCAAAATATGAACAACAAAAAACTTTACACGGAGACTCATGAAACGATCAGGAAGAGATATAGAACATGGCGATGTGTTAAAGATACCACCATACTCAAAAGAGTGTTGCCGGATTGATTTTAGAGAAATCATGTGATGCTCCTTCAGCAGAAATGTTTACAATTTTGAAATGGATGCCGATTTCGAAATATTTTAAATTCAGAGTCAATTATGACACATGAATGTGTAAAATGGTTTGGTACCACAATATCTTTCAAGTGATTTTATTTCGACTGGAAGTGGTCATCAGTGGTCTACACGGCAGGTATTTAGTAAAAATATTGGTTCCAAAAAACAAGACAATTTATTATTCGAAACATTTTTTATGTATCCGGTTGTCAGGAAAGAAACAAACTTCTAAATGAAATCAAAACTGAAACATCATTTTCTATGTTCAAAGAAAAACTAGTGTGCTATTATTTGAACTCCTGACGAAATAATCTTTAGATTTTGTTTCCAATACCAGTAATGTTTTACTCTTTGTTATATAAGCGTAGTACTTTTTTACACTAAACAATATTAGTAAATTTTGTCAATTGTGCATTCAGGAATTATATCCGTTTAATATCATTTTGTACATAACTGATTTTCATTACCCATGCTTTGTGTTTAAAATTCCTTTACATCACAGAAAATTTCGCTACCGTTTCCGAGACATTTTCGCAAAACAGCTGTAGAGTTGCCCTTTTAAGATTAATGAAATAGATCAAAGATAAAAGAAAATAAATACTTATGTTAAACCTTAAACTGTATGAGAACTACATCAAGGACAGATATATGTGTTTAAAACGCTTTGTAACTCTCATTTGATAATGATAATTAGAATGACTAATGACGGATGTCGTTAATATTTACATGTTGGTATTTTTTTTTTTCATTTTTGCACAGCACCTACCTCCCATCCGAGAAATCTCAAACATTTTTCTTTTTGGTTCCCACTATTCTTGTTTCTATCACTTCATTTGAAACATATCAGCTTGCGTATTTCACATAAAACAAACGATCTAGATATACAGTATCCGGTCGAGCACTAAAGGAAACATTTAGACAAGAAATAGGTTACACTATATGATAACATCGGATTGCCTTCGTCTGCTAGCTTTATCGCCATTGTGCTCTGTATAAATGTACCATTTGTCTACATGCCATAGGCATTGTGTATCAGCAGAAAAAAATATTCGTAGGTCTTGCATTTAGAAGGACCATAAATACTAAGCTCCCGTGGAAATATTATATTCATTTGTAAATGTCATATTTTCTAATCTATTTTTATAACTCACCTGGCTAATATTTATTTCCGAAGATAAAATATGAGTGTCTGCATAGAAGCCAAGGTGCCTATCTACATCTATCTGTCTGGAACTAAATGGTGCGTAGCGACGGAAAAGCGACGGAAAACGTATAGATATCATGCAACGCTGCGCAGGGTGTGCATGTACTTAGAAATGGCATTTGACCTTTATACATTCTTGCTTCTCTGCATTTCTTTACTGTTAGTTATAAAAGCAATGATTCCCGTAGTCTAATGGTAGATTTATTTTGATATCATTTCTAAATAAAGCATATCAAAAATATGTATTCAGTCATTAAAGACTCATCATTGATGCTAGTTTCTGATATTGTGGGAACTGGAAGTAAGGAATTGGACAAAAAATATATCAATGAAGAAGTCATCAAATTCTGTAATTCGATAAAGTTTATAAATAAATGTAATATTATGTTAAAGTATTATGATTACTATTTAACACATACCACTAACAAATACATTTTTGCACACAATGGTCGTTACGTTCAGTTTTGTTTTGTTTTGTTTGCTAGTTTGGATTTTTTATTTGTTTGTTTGTTTTATTGTCTCTTATCAATTCTTTGCTTCGCTGATGGGATATAATAAAACCGGTGACATACCTTCCTTCCATACCTTCTTTTCAAATCCGAATGCTTATATCAACTCCTTTTTGGGAAAGTATTAATACAGTATAGGAAGGGATTGCCTCTCTTTACATGACTGTTTTTAATTATATACATAGTGAAGTTACTAGAAAATCGTCGTTTGGGTATGTACAGACAAGTCATCCACAATTTTATGTTAAAGTGAAAGTAAAATTAGACGACATCTGCTTGTCTTTGATAACAAAACAAATCAACGTGAACAAATACTTCCGTTATTTTTCCACTGACGTAATATCGATCAACCTATAGCAACATATGCTGTATGGACTTGTTAACGGGTAAATTGGAACAGAATCAGAACGAAAAGCGATATTTCATATTCTATGTGTGCTAATGAAGCACAAACGTGTTAAACTAAACATATGATATACATTATTACGATGCAAGCACACGAGGAATTCGTAAGTTAGTGGAAAGAGAAAATTAAGCTGGTAATTATAGATGAAAAAAATATTTTTGAACATTTTTTTCCAAGTGTAGAATAATTGTTTACACAACCCATGATTACTCTGAATGGGAATGTGTTTACTTTCTTTGTCATTTCCAAGGTATCCTGTACATCAAATAAACTGAGAGAAGCATAGGAGACTTTAAAACGATATAATGAAATTAGCACGTGCACCTGAAGGTTATCCTATTGACATATCCATTTATTAAATGAACCTGTGAGCTTGCATGGCATCACATATAAACAACTGTAAATTTTCTGAAAATCGTTTGTGTATATATCTTGTGATCAACATAACATAACCAAATCTACTTAGAGTTTCCTTTCAAGTCACTTTCAGGAATGCTGTTAGCTAAACAAAGAAAACGTCACGTCCCAACAAGCAAACATTTTTGACTATTACGCAATAGCATAAAGATGGATTACTTGAAACGTAATAACATATTTGTCACTTCAATAATTGTGTGTTTGTTCAAAACTGGAAACAGTTAACAATTGTTGTATTTAAGGATGGCTGTCATATCGCTTTGACGTTTTCAATTCGGCAAATTGTCTTATGTTCTCGTTACATTACAGTTTGATATCGAAAGGGATCATGTATTTGGTCATATACACATTTTGGACCTGTGTATCCCTAAGTGTTGGTTACATTAACTGCTGATCCATATATTTTCAGACTTATTGTACTGGTTGACACAAAAGCTGGCATGTTCTTCAGATGCACTTAAATTGTTTTTAAATTCCTTTTTCATTGGTATCTCAAATTAACAGCATCCTTAACATCAAAGATGCCATGTTTCTTCTGAATTTGTTAGATAACATCTTAGTGTTGAGTTATGATTATGTTGACGCAACTATCAAGTAGGAGTTTAATTGGCATTTGCCTTCTTTCTTTTTGTACTTACGGTTTATTTATATTTTCAGGACGAGAAAAACCAGGTGATCACCGTTAATGTTTGGCTTGACCAGGTAAGTTTATTCAAATGACAAATCTGCACAATTTGCATCAGTAACACATGTAATCGATACAGCAAAAACCTTGCCAAATCCTTCAACTTGATTTAAGAAATGTATTGAGCGTGTCAGTCGTATATAACAAACAGAATAGAAAAAAGGGACACGACAGCTTCTTCTATAATTTTCACTTTCCTTCATCATTTTCTGAGACGCAACCCGGCAGTATGGTATGTGAGGTATGAATTTTACATTTCTATAAATTGACGTGCCTGCTTCCTCTACCCGTGGTATTTCAATGTCACAGTTGATTCTACCCAACGATTCGACCCCACCCACCTCCCAAACATTACAATGCCTTTTTTTGTACAAAATGTTAATAAATTCACAACACAGGGTTTCAAGAGATCCATGAAGAAGTTGGACACGTTTTACGTTCATCATAATGATCACAATGCAAAAAAAACAAACAACAACAACAACAAAACACATTTTCATGGCGATATCATGTTGGTCGTGTCTGATACGTATTAGTATGCCTTGTGGTTACCTTATTGCTTACATTGTTTACTAGGGAATGTGAAATTACTTACGTGGTATGTTCAACATGAACAGCAGACGCTTATGCGTCCGGAACCCTAAATTCTTTTACTGGTGCTTGTTCATGAGTCTTTCATGTATATCTTTCATCTGTTCATATATTCTCGTAGTTTACTCGGATAAGGATTATGTTGACATGTCTATACTTTCTTTGTTAAAACTGATACCTTCTTTGCCTCATCATCTACGTAGTTACCAAAATGTTATATTCACTTTGAATAATAAAAGGGTGTTACAATGGTGGCTGACGAAGTATTCTAAGATACACATTGTGCGTTCGTGCGAGATCATATGGTATATATTATACTTTATAAAATTCTTCATTCTTATTAAAGAATATTCCGTTAAATGCTTTTGTAGACACTGCTGGTAGACGTATAGCCCCTAAAGTTTACTGTTAAATGCTTGACAGGTTGAATCCATGCGAATGCTGGCACGGTTCAGAATATCAGATTCACGTGACGTCCTTCACAAATATCACATATATAAATCATGGCAAACTTTTTTGGAATAAGGATCAGGTGCACATCCAGCCTAGATTTTGATATACCTTTCGATTATTTACTTTATTTTCTTAAGTCAGCTCTAGGTTCCAAATGTAGGACCTTTACATCACTGATAAGTGAAGGGAGGACGAAGCAGCTGTATACTCTACTTTACCTAATTTCTGAATTATTATTAAAACGATGTTATTCACTTGTTTGTCTTACGAAAAGTTTACAGCAAAATATGCTCCCCTAATAATTGAATTTCTCTAATCAACGTAGCATATCAGAAAAATATATAACAATTGACACAGAGGTCAACGTTAAACGACGTTTGGGTAACATATATACATACATAGTTTAAACATTGTAAAATTGAAAAGTTACAAACAGAATCCTACTGCTATCCTTACCTAGGTGACTCTCCAATGAAACAAGTAAGAAAGTGCCAAAGTCTTGTTTATACTGGCCAGACATCGTGTCAGGACAAAATTAATGAGAGATAGTAAACTTTGATGTGTTTCTATAGTAACAACATCATATATATGTTGCTACAGACACATTAAAACCCTAAGGTGGAAACATGTGTCTTTGGAGTAATTAGGCGTAATGAGTACGTACAATATAAAATCTAGTTGATTAAGTTTGTTTGGTTTTACCAGCATTAGCTTTAATTGGGAAAACAAGGAGGCCAAAACTTGGATCATAATGTGATTTTCTAACCTTCGTCTGGTATTCTTAACACATTTAAAAAAATCATCACAAAGGATTATCAATATGTTAAGCAGATGATCAAATACCAACAGAATACAAAACTTTGCTAGATATAAAGAAGGAAACATTTCAACGCCAAATATTGATGGACGAGTGTATGGTGCAGTTCGAATGTTCTTACTAATGGACAAGGTTGGATGTTACTTCAGTTTGTGTTGACAGAACCACTGCCTTTCCTCTGAAGATCGTATTATCGTTCTACAAATAAAAGAAATATGACATTGTTGCTACAAAATTATGGAAAATAAATACATCAACTTACGAATCAGACACCATATCGTTAAATTTCCAGAGGCACTCATATCAGGATCCGGATGCTTCTAGATCAGGAATACTAAGACACACTTTCCAACTAAATAACATAATGATAATTACTACATGCATGCCAAAGTTCTCTTTGTTGTTACAGTGATGAACATATAAATGGACGGACTAAAAACACAACTAATGCATATGTGAATGAAATGAACATCGGTCCTGTTACAATAGGCTGGTAAACAAGTTATTCTTTAGAATGTACATTTCCTCTCCAGCCATGACCGTCAACGTGTACATATAGATGAAATACACTTACTATCATGCCTTCAAAGTGGGAACAATGTAACTGACAAAACCTTGACAAGGCATATACGTGAACACAGTGAAATAACGCCGAATTCATACCACACAGAGAAACATGTCTCATTTCTCAATATGATTATTATACCTTATGCAAAACCTTCTTAAGAAAGCAAACTAAAGTTATATTGTCTACTTTGCTTATGAAGTAACATAGTCATCTCTAAAAGGTTTTAAAAGAAACACATAAAGTATTCTGATAGATTCAATACTTCGTTGTACTTATGATTAACCGTTCGGCCTACGGATATCGTGTGTCATGTGATGGACATTAAATTTACATACTCTTTTCAGGAATGGCATGACGAGAAGCTGTCGTGGGACCCTGCCGATTACAATGGTCTGTCTGTGATGAGAATTCCCTGTAATAACTTGTGGCTGCCAGACATAGTCCTCTACAACAGGTAATTAAATTGACATTACTGGTTTCAAATCCTGCATTGATAAATGTATTTGCACTTGAGTTTTGAAGTAAATAAATAAAGATATATGTAAATATATGTATATATATATAAACATGAACATGAGAAATAATGTACATTTTATCTCACCTTATGAAGCTATAATAACCATATTAAGAAAGAGTCCGAGTTTCTTGTTTCTCTGTATGATATGACTATATCGTTATTTTACTGTGTTTACCTATGTGCCTTGTCATGTTGTTTCGAAACAGCAAGTTGTTAACTTTTAGTCCCTAGGATTTGCGATAACCTTAATGCCACGTTTTAATTCATTTGCATATTGGCACCGTGTAGAATATATCTATTTTCTTAAATTGTCAAAAATATGAAAATTACAAAAGTTATGAAATTGTGGGTCTAGTGCACCTCCCCATGGATGTTTTTAATTCTGTCGATAAATTCGTAGTTTTTAGTCGCCTCCGAGGCTTCAAACTGTTGGCCGTTAGCATCACTGATGAATTCTAGAAGGACGAAAAACTGTATGTTGCAGATAAAGTTTTGTTTGCCTTGACTGTATCTAACTCTTAATTTGTATCAAAAGGTGATATTCACTTGTGTGTCTTTTATACGATCTTAAGGCCACCGTGAATAGTGTATTAACAGCCTTATAACTTACAAAGAATAAACATGATAGAAATACAGGCAGTTTTATAGTGCTAGCAACACCAAACCTAGAACCATCAACAAAAGTAGTGGCAATACATTGTTTTCTTTGTTTATGTAAGTATGTAATAGTAACAGTAAACAAAACAACAACAACAATATCAACGCCAACATCAGTGGCAATGCAATTTTTAATGATTGTTTATTTATTTAGCGCTTTCATCAGCGATATAAGGTAAAGTAAGATTTAATCAAAATAATTTCATATTTGAATTATTGCATTAAAACTCAAAAAAAAATTCTTAAGACTAATTCTATAGAGCGTAAAACGAAATTAGCGAAGATAAACTTCACTTATCATTCTTTTACCTTTGTAGTGCATCTGACTACAACGAAAAGTACATGGAAGCATTGGCTATGGTGTCATCTGATGGTCACGTGTTTTGGCCGCCTATCGTCAAGCTTCGAAGCTCATGTCTAATGGATATCACCTATTTTCCATTTGATGATCAGATTTGTAAGATGAAGATGGGATCATGGGCATACGACGGATTCCAAGTCGATATCCTCAACAGATCCACAAACATCGATCTTACAAATTACGTGGAGAATGGAGAATGGGAACTTATTAATACAAGCTCTGTTCGAAACGTTGTGACGTATCCATGTTGTCCTGAACCGTTTCCGGATGTGACGTTTTCCATGCACATCCGGCGCCGAACGACCTACTATATGTATAACGTCATCATCCCGTCTGTGATGCTTTCGTCGCTAGCCTTACTTGGATTCTGGTTACATCCTGATGGCGGAGAGAAGGTGACACTTGGATTAACTGTTCTACTTGCTTTATCCGTCTTCATGTTACTTATAGCGGAGAATACTCCTGCTACCTCGTTTTATGTTCCTCTTTTAGGTAAGATGCTTAATTTTTTATTTGTGTTAATTTCCTTAATTATTTTCTCCTTTCATTTTTTGAATTTTAACAATATTATGTAATTCCAAAGCATTTGTTTCTTTAAGGACAGTTTTATTATAATAGCAAACTATTTCATTTGAAGACTGGCAAATAATATCGTGTATTTTTTCTCTGCACGTGTATTCAAGTTTTGATGATTCATTTAGTTTATAGAAATTAAAACTACGATAGGAAAGTCCCCACATTACGCATGACTTCTCCAATACTTTGGAGCAAATCGCTTATTCAGGATTATCTCTCCAATTCTTTTTCCTCAACAGAGACATTTAATTCAACATGGGGCAGGGACAAACAACATTTCTCACCAAATTGTAAATCTTTATCACCTTTTGGTGTTGTTTCTTTTGTTTTTCTGATAAGTGTGCTGCATCGTTTAAGAGTATACAAAAAGGGAGGTAATCCTCGCAACTTAAACAAAATTTGCTGAAACCAAATTCAGAAAAAAATTACAAGAATTAGAGGGAAGACTTCCATGGTGAAATTTTCAGAGCAACACACGGTAATCTGTTACCCCGTTAAAAAACAGATCTGTGTTGATGTTGTCTCTGACAATTTCTTTTTCTTGCAAGACTGATGAGTATTTTTCATCATTTTCAGTTGAGGATCGATAGCGTTTTTGCAAAATACCTTTTATACTCAGTTTGATATATTTCTTACAACATTAAGGAAAACTTGGTAAAATGTGCAATTTTTTTATATAAATTAACAATAAATTCAATGTTGTTATTGATCTTCCTTTTTCATCACTGATGAACGCCGTTCTGAAATAACAAATGGCATATCTTGAGATATCAAAGCTTACTGTACTGTAGCCAAGACACTAAAAAGAGAAAAAAACAACCATACTCGCAGCTTGTTTAAAGACGTTTTAAAACGATTACTTGTTTCTACAGGTGTCTACCTTATAACTACAATGTCCTTCACCTCATGCTCCGTCATTGTTGCTGTCACAGTCTCCAACATCCATGCTCGAGGATCACGTGATATGAAAATTCCAAAAGGAGTCAAGTCATTTGTTGTTTGTATTTCAAAAATGATGTGCATGAAATTACGATACATAGAGAATGGCGAATACCTTGGCGAAATTATCTCCGGAGGACTGCAGAAGTCAACAAATGGGGACGTTTGTGGCAACACGAATAGAGTTCACTGTAGTGAGAACCTCACATCATTACCTGGATTTGAAGAACAGGGTAATATACAAATATCTACCGTGAATGGCCCGGATGTATACAGCGCGTCTATTCTACAAGCCCTTCAGTGCCTTATCGATCAAAGTAATTCGCGTGACAACGAGGAAATTAACCGACGACAGTGGGAAGAAGTGGCATTCATAGTTGACAGATTCTTTTTTTGGGTGTTCCTTCTAGGAATGATTTTATCATCTGTGTATCTACTCGCGTTTTCACCGCTGTTGTTAAAGAAAATTTCTCTGTAATTCTAATGTAGAAAGGGAAAAAGCATTGCTACATTTGATTGGTCGTGTTAATCTCTTGGTAAGTTTGATACGGCAACCTCTAATATTGGCTTGATTGGGGCAAACATACTTTGTGCCATAAACGTTTTCATGATTGCTAAGAAGAAAGAAACTATCCTAACTATCGTCTACCAAACATGTACAGTGTATAAGAATAACAGCTGACAAACACATAAATCCTCGTTAACATTTCGTTTCTAAGATTATTTCATAAAGTCATAAAGAAATTTGATACAAAATTGTTACCTGACAATTGCTATGATATTCTCGTTGAAATTGCTTTTGTTTCGAGATGGGAATTCCGTAAGATCGATGAAACAAAAAATGAGATCCAATGTAGTAGACCTATTTGAAAGTTTTATATGAAGAGTTTTAAGGCTCTTTCATTACGAATTGAAATATATACGCCATATAGTACACGTGATCTTGTTATTGTCAACACCTTATCAATAAATCTAAAAATGTTATCTTATTATAACAAACGATGTTATCATGTGAGAACGATACCTTAGTACTGTTGAGACAATGTATATATTTCATGCTGTATGAATCGCGCTAATTTCGCTTAGAGTATCATTCGGCGCCATAATCAAACAAACATTTTTATCCATATATGGTAATATAGAATTGTACATGCATCAAGCAGTCGCTGTGGTAACCAGTTGATAGCGATGACAAGTAAACAAATACGCGAAATTATAAACATTTTTTAGATTAAATCTGTATGTTGTCTTTTTCCAATATGTTTGCCACGAAATCCAAACCTATAATGACCCTTAAAATGGCTGTTTTATGATGGTTAGTGTCAAATTGACTCAAAATATTAGCCCACTTTATAATGTTAAACAATTTATTTTCAAAATAGATACAAGCATACTATGTGATATATATCGAGACTGCATATATATTTTATTGTATAAAGTACTCAGCCAAATTGTACTATTTATGGAAATTATTTTACATGTAGATAAATCAAACTCTTACTCTAGCGAATGCGAGTGAATTGAGAAAATATCAGGATTATGGGAATATTTGTAATTTGTATTATTTTCTTGCGCAAAAATAACGCAATTGAAAGTCATTGTGTAAAGTATTTCTTTAAATTGAACGTAGAAACACTTTATGTTATGAAAGACAAGTCGCATTATCGTTGATCAAAGATTTTTGAAACATAAGACATTTGAATATGTTTTTCGTGTATTGATGTAATGAACATATTATCTGTGATAGCAGTATAGTATATGGCACATTAGTATATCAAATATATAAAAAAGAATATCATCTCATTCTGTAATTAATCTGTGTTTAAAGCCATTTTTATCAAACTGATGATGATAAGAAACCATCTTAGTTAAGTTATACATTACCTGGTCGCTATAGAAGAAGATTTTCAGAAATTTCGTTTTCTGTGTTTTTAATTAACAGGTTGTATTAGTTTTCTCAGCAATCTGGTTTTTTGTCATCATAAAAGGTAACTCAAATGAACTAATACAATCGGTCATTCTAACGTGTACTTTTTTGTTGCTCTGTAACATTTTGGTATTAACTTCATCAATTGTTTCTTACACAGATAATGCATTAAACGCAAAGTGAAAAAATACTTCAGATGTTTATGATATTAGGTTAATGCCAATCTTTTCTTTCACAAACAATGATAGGTTTTATCAAGAAGCCAAAAAATAACACATCTGCTAGCCTGTATTGATACCTGTCAAAGAAACCCATACAGCTCTACGTTCATTATCGTTTAGAAATAAATGAACGAAATTTTAATTGCATGTTGTATTTATATCAAATAAAATGTTTTTGATAAACCATAGACGATTGTGTACCCCAGGTTTCCTTAAGTGTCAAAGATGTCTAGTAGTAATACGTTTTTATCTTATTAACGATTAATCATAAAGTGTGATTTTTTTTTTTCCTTTTTTTATGTTAAGATTTTTTTTTTAGTTTCGATGTATGTAACTTTGTTGTGATTGATTTTTTCACGTTTATAGACAAGGTACATATGTAATTGATATCTATATATGAGTGTATTGCGAATGAATATGTCAGGTAAAAGGAACCAAACAATCTGCTTCATAATATGGCTGTGATATTATTCCTAACTAGAATCACTTAACCAACCAACCCCCTCCCCTCCTTTATTTTTGGTTTACTGGTGAAATTCATTTACGTTTTATCAAAAGACATTATATGCATCATTTTTGCCTTCCAGAAAAGAGGTATTTCATTACTAACACGTGTTGGTTTTGTTTTAAAAACATGCCGCTTAATAATCCTATTGTTTTCTTAAAATTGGTTTTAAAATTAATAAACATTGAAAATATCTCGTATTGTTTAATTTAATTCGATACCAATATTCGCCAATATTTCGTACTGTCTCTTTTCCTTTTTTCACAAAAAATATCCAAAATTTTAATTTATAGCGACAAATATCAACATGGAATTGCAAGACATCGAGTGAGCAAAACATCGTGATATTTAAAGTGTGTCACAACGATTAAAAAATATTTTGACAGTTCATCAATTTCGCTTTATCAAAAGTTATAGTACAAAGGACGATAATGCTTTTGCGCGGTATTTTCTCGTGTAAGCGCATTTTTTTTCTCATCTTTTTATTCTCTGCCAGACCATTCGTTGGCACACAGTACCATTTTGTTTAACATGTCAATTGTAAAGTATACCGATTTATCGTTTGACTTATCACTAAAACATCTTCTTTATAATGTCCCTCTAAATTGAACATTTATTCAGTATCCAAATGTTTCAGATCAGTTCTCATTTGAAAAAGTATCTCATTTTCTGAAGTTATATTTTACATTGCTATTGTTGTCAGTCCAATGAATTTTGATTATTTTGTCTGTTACACCACCATGTAAATAACAGAGAATTAAAGCATAGATAATTAAATTATATAGGATTTCTTTTGGACCTAATATGTTGGTTTTGGAAAAGTGGAAATTTATCATCTTCATCGATAGCTGTATGAAAAACAATCTGTAATGTATTCTTGAAGTTGTTAAATTCAGCCCTCATAATTGACTAATCCATTAATTGAAAACTAATTCATTTGACGCATATAAATTTTTGTTTACTAATTTTTATATTTTTTTCATTTTTTACTTCTTTTTTTTTTTTTTATATATATTTTTGTAAATCTAAGTTGCTTGCTGAATGTATTAAATTTGAGAATGCCAAATAGAAAAATACACGTGTCTGTTTATTTTAGATGTTATATGATGATATTTTATATGCATGCAGAAACATTGTTAGTTTGGACGGAGACTTAAACTGACCGTGGCTGTTCAAAGGGAGATAAACGTAGCAAATCGTCCTATCAGATATCAGTGTCCGAGGACTGATATAGATCGATGAATGATACTAATACTCAAACGCTGGACGAGAATCAAGGAAATCAGAGAAAAGTAAAAACAAAAATTTGCACAGCAGGAAAAAAAGATGAAGCAAGCGTGTAGATGGGAGAATTTTACACATCACGATGTGCCCGTTGGCATCCCCGTCATTGTGATCACAACCACATTATCTATAAGTCAAGATGTAAACGTATTTTTACGATTTGTTGCCTCGCGTCACTTTCTCTACGAACATGATGTTTCCATTTCTGGTATCTCCGGTGTTAATGACTCCTATCCTTAAGGTATCCGGCATCAAGATGGCTCCTGTTGTGATTTGTCCGGGCACGACGCGCCTCCCTTTGCATTATCTTTTTATCGTGACATCTGATCTGGCAGATGCTGATATACTGGAGTAAGAAATCTACAATCGTTGCAGATTACTAATTATTGAACACAGTTCTCTAATTGTTTGTACTGCTTGTTCTGCTGATGGACATGACGTGATCTGTCTGAGCGGTAATATGAATAGGACAAATTACGAAATAAGAAATAAATTATCAGCGAGTTCTCATGGGTGTGACAATGTCAATTTTATGTATAGTTACCAAACTTCTGGTGCATTACTTGGACCCATCGACAAGATGCTGGTATTTGTTTGGAAATCTCTGCCACTTAAGTTGAAATTTGTTTTGTGTAGTGAAGAGTGGAGATGAAGAAGTCCAAACGCTGTTCGGGTGTTGTAGGGTTATTGTGATTTAGGCTATGGAGAGATGGAACACTAATATGCCTTCAGGAACCGATACATACTGGCTAGAAATGTGGTCGTATTTATACTAAAATTGTTCAGAAACTGATACAGTAATATTACGCATTAGCCAACAGGTTAACAAGGATTGAATAATACACGAGTTATTGACATGGTCTGATACACATAAATGGCAATAGATTCGGCTGTTTACAACAAGATAAGGTTACAACTGACCTTCATACAGACTGCTTAGATAGGCTTCAGGTAATTACTTATATAATCAGGGAACGAATTAATACATAGACATGTGTAGTAGATCAGTAACGACAGAATACCTCTAGCTACTGGTCAATACCTCGTTGTTCACAGTAGATGTCAGTGATAAATTAAGCTGGTCTCATTCTGGCATTTAAATTATGATTACAAATCTGACTTATTTCTAGCTAAACACAATTTTGAATAATTTAACTAACTTATATATTAACTATTAATAGTTCATTCGTCCCTTCGTATAAAATTGATTTCAAATTAGTTACAATTTGACATTGTCTATGAAAACTATATATAGTTTATTACGTCACTTTGTAATAAAATAATAGCTATAACCATAAAACTTATTTGTGATTGGTAAAGATGTACAATTTTATAAAAAAAATCAACTGGATAGCAAGACTAACGTTGGACTTTGGTCAATTTCAATGATCAAGGAATGTTTTCATTGTGCTGTGTTACATTCTGGCATTTAAAATTATGATTACAAATGCGACTTATGTCTAGTTGAACAAATTTTGAATAATTTAAATAACTTATATATTAACTTTTAAAGTTCACATTGTTGAATCAATGTAAACATT